GAGCTAACTCAAGTTCATCTCTCGATTCTTTGTTGAGAAAGCTTGAATAATAATTCTAGCAATGGCCATATACGACAACTAAGAAATTAAACCACTTAAGCTCAACTAATTAACACCCAACCATTACAAAATTTACATATGAAACATGTAATTAGTGACTATATTGAGGGTTTACCCAAACCCTAGAAAATTAGACTACTCACAATCCATGAAAATTAAAGCATTTAAGGTTTTCAAGCTACTCATGAACAAGATTCAAACTAAAGATTAAGCTAAGTAACAATCTAAGAATACATGAATTAAGAAAAATAAGAATTAAAATTGAAGAGAAGAGTGAGAAAAAGTTACTAGAAGCTTAAACTTAAATAACAACGGTGAAACTTGTCTTCTACAATGATTGAGATTGAAATTTTCAAGCTATTGATTAAAATCTTACTAATGATTTGAGAATATTTGTGTTTCTACAATTACACACTAGGAGAAAGCTCTAAAAATTTTTATGTCTTACAAATGAGCTCAAGAGGTTATTTATAAATACCCCCAAATAAAAAGGACAGACAAAACAAAAGTCGGGCACGGCTACAGGTCAGCACGGACGTGCCGGACATGGCATGGATGTGCATCCTTTAATGCACAGACGTGCACATCCAAAAGAAGAGAAATAGTCAGCTATTGTTTTAGCCTGGAAATCTTGCACGAACGTGCCACATTAGGCACGGACGTGCAAGCCTTAAACTGCACAATCAATTTTGAAACTGATTCAGGCTGGGCAAGCTGCACGGACGTGCTGAGTATCCTGCACGGACGTGCTGAGTATCCTGCACGGACGTGCTGAACTCTGCACGGACGTGCAGGTCCTGAGAGAAGCAAGAAGCAGTTTGTGGTCGTGTTAAAGCACTCCTGCACGGACGTGCCATACCTTGCACATCCGTGCAGACTCTCTAAGGCCCTTATCTTCACTTTTTCTTCGGGTTTTCTCCATTGTCTCGACTTCTAACATCGCTTTATCATCCATATGCTTCAAATGGTCGTCTTTGGACCTAAAAACTCAAAAAATACTAAAAGCGCGTGAAGCAAGGGATACACAAAAATTGAACGAAAATAGAGTAGAAGTGAACCAAAATGCCAATATATCAAGTAAAAAAGGTTCAAAATCACTCCAAAATCATATCAAATAACAAGTTATCAAATCCCCCCGAGCTATGCTTTTGCTAGTCCTCGAGCAAAACAAACATGCCAAATCAAGAAGGAAGATAACTTGCTAATGATCAAATCAAGGAGAGGTACTAAAGAGGAAACACAAAAACACAAATCCGCATGGCAACAACCATAAACACTTTTAGAATAAGTGAAAAGTAATTTAAACCCCTAAGTCGCCTAAGAGGACGAGTTTTTATCTTGTGAGGGTTCCCTTGAGCTTAACCCACAACTCACTCAAACCACGCTAAAACTATCAAAACACATCATTACTATTAAAGTAATCAATACACACCAAAACCAATGTTTTTATTTCCCAAGTCAACTCATCGGGATATTAATCACAAGCAGACAAGTGAGCGACTTTCAAGAATTATCGATCATACAAATGTGCACATGAGTTGGGGGTAGAGAGGAGAACTAAGCAAGGTTGCACTAGGATATTTCCTTATACCTTTTACTAGTTCATTAGAGCACGTCTAGATATTCCAAAGTTGCAACAAGCCCTCTTTCAGTTATAAAATCTCAAAATGCAAGTCCACCTCCCAAAATGCACTCCCAAGCCCCTTCAACTACACTCTAACTCGGGTATTTACACAAGAAACATCAAAATAGATAATGCGTGGGAGGCATCCACAAGTTGACCTCTAAATTAGAAAAAGGAAAATTTTGAGAATTTTTGTTGGAGTTTTTTGTATCTCCCTTTCTTTTTCTATATATTTTATTTCAACATACATTGCCCTCGCCTCTTTTAACTGTGAGTAGCTCTTTCTTTATTCAAAACATGTGGCTTATTATGCCACTTATTACACATGATACAATTAGAACCAATTCCCTAATAGAGTTTCATTTTGGGGTGGAAAAGGGGCACATTAAGGGCACAAGGGACCTCAAATCAATTCAAACATATCCTACTTTGGACAAATTTGACAATATCCTATGCTACACGTGCAATTAAGCATTCATCGGTTTTCATTTCATATACTCTAATGCAATCAAGATTAATGGACCTCTAAATGACCCCAACTCTTGCACATACCCTTCTAAAAGCACATTTTACTCATCACTTAAGAGTCAAGCAAGCAAAACATATAAGCATCGTCATTTGAGTCTCATCCTTGAGCTTTTTTTTTTCATTTTTTCAATATTTTTTTTTAGTTGAATAATTAAAAAGTTAAACTAACTAAGCTATGCATAACTAGAAATCTAAATAAATAGAAAGAGGAGAAGTATTTACAAATTAAGAGATTAGGATTAAGGGTGTTGGATTTCAAAGGGAGTAATTTTGGATTCAAGGTATTTGGATTTTAGGGGAAAGGAACAATCAACATGCAAGTTCAACACTATCAACACACAAATAAGTACAAACATATGAGCCAATGACTCTCCCCCCAAGCTATCATGAACATTGTCCCCAATGTTAAAACAATAAAGCCACAAGAAAGGAGAGGAAGAAAACCAACTTAATGGCTCCGATCTCCTTGGGAGCTTGAGCCCCCGGGGTACCAATGCCGGTAGACATTCCGGAATTCTTCCAATTCTGATTGAAGGACCCTCAAATCTTGTCCTCACGTTGTCGTAGGATGACCACATGTCTTCGTGAGACATTCTGATAGTCTCAAACTCGGTTGTCATGCGGGTGAAACTGGCATTCATGAGCTGCATCTGTTGCTCGAAAGAGAGATGTGGGTTGTCCTCACCCACACCTTGACCTTGGTACCCTTGTTGGTTCCCTTGTTATTTCTCATGCTGTTGTTGTTGAAAGAATTGTTGTTGGTGGAATTGTTGTTATAGAAATTGTTATTGTTGTTGTTGCTCTTGATCTTGCTGCTGCTCTAGCTCTTATTGTTGAGGTTGCCTATGCTCTTCCTCCTCTTCACCGGGAACCCAAGGATGGTCCCTCTCAAAGGCCCAGTTGCTCTCATCATAGATGTAGGTCTTCTTTGGGTCGAGAAGGAAGGCATAGAGCCGGCCACTTACATGCCACAAGTAAGGATGTGGCCCTTTTACATCCACAACCCATCTCATCGTCCTCAGCAATCGCATGTCTATCTGCGTCAGCCCTGGAAAAACCTCCTCATCTGCAAAATCAAGGTTAACAACAGAAGCAATAATGGTGATCATGCCACCTATGGTGATGCTACCGGACCTAGTGGCAACATCCTCTAGGTGGTCCACTAGCTAGGACCCTACATATAAGGTCTTGCTACCCTCGCTCAAGTGCCAAAGGAAGTGAACCTCCCTAATGGATACTACTCCTAAACTATCACCTCTAGCGAACGTCGTGTTCTCTATAGTGCACTGTGAAACCCTAAAGGCGGGGTGGATGATGGTTGTGGCCTTGTTAGTCCTAGGGTTGTAGTGGAGTAGGACGGTGATTTTTCTCCAAAATTTACCCGCACAATTGTTATGGGGGGGGGGGGTCTATCCTTTGGTCCCATGGTTCCGTTAGTTGGCCACCCAAAAGCTTGTCCTTATGGTCATATTGTGTTGGGTGTTCATAAGTTGGAAGGTAAGGAGGCGGGGGACTCTATTGGTGTCTCGTTGCACTTGGAAGGTGGAAAGGAATTCAAGTGTCAACCTCTTGTAGGTTAAGGTGTGTAAGTCTAGCCAATTACTTAGGCCACATCCCTCAAATAGCGTTCTGATGTCGTCTCCTACCCTCAAAGCCTCGACAACATTCTCATCATAGAACTTGGTTGGTCTAACTCTCCTCCCACTTTTCCTAATATAATTGTTCAAAAAGGTCGGGTCATTGAACACATTTCCCATAGTATCTACTTGTGGTGGATCAACGGGGGAAGGGGAAGAAGGGTTGCGGTACCTAGTATCCGGGTTTCTCGGTCGGTTTCTTCGGCTCATGGTCGGTCTTTATGCGAAGAAATTAAACACACCACAGCTGAGAAATCAACACACCAAACACACAAAAGGCACTAGGTCCACTACGACAACAACTCAAGGCTTAATCAACACCAATAAGCACAACACAATCAAGTCAAGCTCTAAGTCCACCACCTAAAAAAGGCAAGAAAGTCACCAAACAACCAAGATTACTTCAATAATTCATCCATAGTAAGTCGACACTAATTTCATGCATTAACATCAAACAAACCAACACAATAATAACTCACTCAAACAAGCATTTTTTTTTCATTCAAAAAAATCAATTCCTCAATCTCACTTATAAAAATCCAATACTCACAACATTCACCAAACACCTTCAAATTCACTAACACATTGCAATTATCAACTATCAATCACTCATAAACAATTCAACCAAACTTTTTCAGGCAATTACATGCAAAAACTCAAGAATTTAAAAAATAAAACTAGTGAAAGGGAGGAACGAATATACAGAGCTTATTGCACCTTATTGCACGGACGTGCAGCACTACCTGCACGGACGTGCTTGGTTTGGCACGTCCGTGCCAAACTTGTAATTTTGACTCTCAATTTCTTGATTGCTTTTGACTGCTTCTGCACGGACGTGCGGTGTTCTGCACGTCCGTGCAGACCTAATGCTGCACATATTTACCCCTTTTTTTTTACTAGAGAATAATAATCAGGCATAATAATAATAAAATTATTATTATTACCATTATTATTATTATGATTATTGATAAGCCTACTACTTTACATCCACAAATATTTTTCTTACTTCTCTTTTCATCAATACCTACAAAAGATATTAAGAGAAAAGTTAGTAATAATAAAAATGATGGAAGGGAAATAATAGTTTAAGAGAGAGAGGTTGAGAAACGAAAGCGCTCTTTTAACGTCACTAGCTTGACGACATTACGGGATTAATGAGAGGAAGGAACATCAAACTCATCAAGGCGAATAACCTTGGCTTCTTTATGCACAAAACCGTCAAAGTATGGCTTTAGCCTTTGGCCATTCACTTTGAACGGTTCACCATTGTCATTTGAGATTTCAATTGCACCATATGGAAACACCTTCTTAACGGTAAAAGGTCCAGTCCATCTTGACTGGAGCTTACCCGGAAACAACTTCAACCGGGAATTAAATAGTAGGACCTTGTCACCTTCTTTAAATTCCCTTTTGCTAATATGCTTGTCATGCCAAACCTTGGTCTTTTCTTTGTAAATCTGTGCACTCTCATATGCATCCAACCTTAATTATTCCAAGGAATGGAGGTCAAGCAACCTCTTTACACTGGCACTTTGAAGGTCAAAATTCAATGTTTTAATGGCCCAATGAGCACAATGCTCAAGTTCTACCGACAAATGGCCTAATTTCCCATAAACAAGCTTGTATGGTGTGGTGCCAATGGGAGTTTTGAATGCGGTGCGGTAGGCCCATAGAGCATCATCAAGCTTTGTAGACCAATCTTTCCTAGACCTATCCACCGTTTTCTCAAGAATCATTTTTATCTCCCGACTTAAAATTTTGGCTTGACCACAAGTTTGTGGGTGGTAAGCAAATGACACTTTGTGCCTCACACCATACTTCTCAAGAAGAGATTAAACGGACCACTTTGCAAAATGTGAACCTCCATCCCTAATAACGGCACGTGGCATCCCAAACCTTGGGAAAATTACTCTTTTGAAAAGCTTTACCACCACTTTAGCATCATTAGTAGGAGATGCAACTGCTTCTACCCACCTTGACACGTAATCAACGGCCACAAGAATGAATTTATTCCCAAAAGAGGTCGGGAAAGGCCCCATAAAATCAATGCCCCATACATAAAAAATCACTAGCTCAAGAATTTTATTCAAAGGCATCTCACTTCTTCTTGAAATATTACCGGTTCTTTGACACCGATCACAAGCTTTCACTACATCCCACACATCTTTGAACATTGTAGGCCAATAAAAACAACATTGTAAGATTTTCACTAAAGTTTTGTTAGCACTCATATGCCCTCCACAAGGGGAGGAGTGGCACATTGTGATAACATTTTCAATTTCATCATCTGGGACACACCTTCTAAAAAGGCCATCCACACCTTGTTTGAAGAGCAAGGGGTCGTCCCAAAAGTATTGGCGAACATCATGTAGAAACTTCCTTTTTTTTGTAGGAGAGGTCTGGAGGAAGAATAGAGCAAGATAGATAGTTTGCAATGTCCGCAAACCATGGTGCCGATGCTTGAAGAATAGCAAATAATTGATCATCTGAAAATGAATCGTCGATTGTCAAGTTATCAAGATCACCTACAAAGATAGGCAACCGTGAAAGATGATCGGCCACAAAATCTTCGGCACCCTTCTTGTCTCTGATCTCAATGTCATAGTCTTGTAAGAGCAAGACCCACCGTATCAATATTGGCTTGGGTCCCTTCTTGGACAAGAGGTATTTCCACTACTAAAATTCAGCCAAATTGAGACCGCCTCAAACAGTCGCAGAAATTAGCAAAAACAGTCGCAAAACATAATTGCGGCCGTCAACGGTCGTATTATGGAGGTCGTTATTCTCTTGGTCGCAAAAAAAACAAAATTGCGACTGTTTTTACTATTTTCAACGACTGTTAAGAAAACTGTCGCAAATATTAATTATTGCGACCGCTTTATGAAACGGTTACAAATCTTTAAATAAGTGACCGTCATAAGCGGTCGCTAAAAGTTTTAAAAAAACATAAAAAACAAGAAAACAGACCCATCACCCACTCATTCTTGACCCAGATCCACCGAAACTAGATCCCACCCAAGCCACCACCACAGCCCACCCTAGACAACCACTAGCCGCCGCCCTCTACCCACCATCACCTTCTCCCACCTTCAACCATCAATACCCACCACCACCCACCCACCCTTAACAAAAAAAACATAAATTTATCAAAAAAAAATTAACCCAGAAATTGAACCAACAAAAAATCCAATTAAACCAACAAAAACAACCCATATAATTTCGAACAAATTTACAAAAATCAAACAAAAAAATAGAAAAAAAAAACAACATAAATTAATTAAAAAAATTTAACCCATAAATAAAATGCACAAAAATTAAATAAAAATCAGAAAAAAATACGAACAAAAATCAAACCCACAAACACTAAGCAAAATTTGAACAAATATTCAACTAAAAAAAACCCACAAAAATTCGAACAATCACACAATTTCGCCAAAAATCGAACTACTATTCGAACAAAATCAACAAAAATTCGAACCAAAACTCAAATAAAAACACACAAAAATCGAACCAAAACTCAAACAAAAACACAAAAAAAAAAATCGGAAAAAAATGAACAAACATGCAAATTAGAGAACAAAATAAAACAACAAAAATTGAGAATAAACAGAAATATAATAAAAATTCAGAGAAGAAACACATACCTTTCACAAAACTTCTTCCTCTTTAGGTTTACATGGTCAAATTCGACCATAAAAACTCCAAATCTGGAATTTTTATGGTCGAATTTGACCATTAATACTAAACTTTGACGAAAATACAACACCACAATTCATTTGTTGACAGAAATCCTAAGAAAAAGATAAAATGAAGAAGAAACAAAGAAACAGAGATGGAGGAAGGTGAGGAAAGAGAACGAGAAGGAGAAGAGGAAAGAGTTCAGGAGGAAATTTAGAGAAAGAGAAAGAGAAAGAGAAAGAGAAAGAGAATTAGAGAGAGGAGGAACGTGAGAAGGAAAGAGAGGAGATAAGAAAATGAAGGAGGAGTAGCGGCTGTGAAAAAGGGTTAGTGAGAGTTTCCATCCCTTTTATACCCTATTTTAAAAATTAAAAAAAAAAATTACGACTGCTAATACGGTCGCAAAATTAGAAATCTACGACCGTTTTAGAGGCGGTCGCAGATTATGACATTTACGACCATCTCTTTGACGGTCGCAGATTCTGACATTTACGACCGTCTCTTTGACGGTCGCAGATTATGACATTAACGACTGTCTCTTTGACGATCGCAGATTATGACTTTGCGACCGTCTCTTTGACAATCACAGATTATGACATTTACGACCTGTAGGGAATATTTCAAGCATTACCCCTAGCTTGAACCTCACTGTGATAATACATTAAAGTACGGTGGCGTCCAAAGGGAAAGAAGATAGAGCAAAAGATCGCCAACAAGTTTATAGGAACTTGTAAACCGTTCACGAGGTGAAGGTTACACCCCTTAACGATCCAGGAGATCTTCAACTCCAATAGGTCTGGAACCATGAGTGGTAGTTCAGGGATGAAGGTACAAATCCAACCTAAAAGAGATTGAACCTGCCCTAATAATACGCCTCTAATTTATTCTGATCGTACTCATGTGCGCTTTCTGACAAACATATAATCAATATGATTAACCCTAAACCTGTTTATCTATGTTTGTTGATTATTAATGCACAAATAAAACTATTATTGGCGATCACTTGAATTATAAATAAATTAACCCTTAACAAGATTATTAATTATCTTATTAAGCGTGATTACAAGTACCAATTCCCTTTAAACATGCATAAAAGGTGCGATCAAGCAATAAAAATAAATATAATCAAGCAACGTAATAATCATCATTAAAATAATTATAATAATCATCATCATAAAATTATAATCATAATTAAAATAATCATGTTAAAGCTTAAGAATAGCATGATCCTAGGCATGATATTAACAAGATAAATAACAAATTCTAGCATGTCACAAAACAATAAAAGATCAAATATTTAACCCTAACATGAAACTAACAATCATAAATATTACAAAAAAAATAGGAAGCATCGCAGGAATCATAATAAGCATATTTGATATTATAACTGTTTTGGGTTTTTTTGTCCCTCGGGAGAGTTACAACACGAAGATTGATCCGGAGTGAGTTGTACTTGAAAAACAAACGGAGACACCAGTTGGGTGGTGCTCCGCCTCCGACGCACAAGTTAGAAACTTAAAGGGAGAAAAAAGGTGCCGAAATTTAGGTGGGGTTCTGCTCGGATTCCAAGCTCAGGATGTCTCTATCAAAGAGTAAATGTGTAATAGATGGTAAAACGTGCCCTAAAAAAGAGGGACATCTCCCTATTTATAGGGTCTTTGGGATTTGTGCCCCTGATTAGGTCACTGTACCCTAATCATTGGTGGGTTGCGCCGCTTTGCGGCTTTCTCGGGATTTGGGCCTGAAGGCCTCCTTTTTCCCTTAATTTCTGGAGTGACACGTGTCAAGCAGGGATTGGTCCACTTTGGGCCATCCTGAGATTGACACGTGTCATCCTCTGATTGGACCACGTGGCGGGGTAAAATTACCCTAAACATTTGCCCCTCACAGATGTGACGTGGCACACCATGTGGCATCTGTGACATGTGTCACGCTCCAATTGGCGGTATTTTTACCATTAAAGAGTAACCGTTCACCTTCCGGGTAAATTACGGAAATGCCCCCGTATTTACCCTCTATATATAGCCGTTTACCCTCATAATTTTGGTACGTTTACAAAACATTTCCTAGAGAGAACTTTCAGAGAGCACAAGTCATCCGTTTGAGTCAGGCGCAAGCAAGAAAGCTCGCCCTCCAGAGACCCAGCCGGACTCGCCTAGTTTCTGATATCTCTTCAAAAGGTACCGTCTCTGCCTCTCTTAGCTCTTTTTCTTTTTTCACCGCTTGTACATATTTCTTGCAATAAATGGATGCATCACCAACACACACAGCACAACCTAGGTTAGAGTCCAGCCGGTCACCAGGGACGGCTGAGTCTAGGACTTGGAGTGTCGTTTCGGGGTGTTGGGACCATCCTTTGCCTCAGATTCCGACCAGTTTCGTGTCTGTGCAGGACACAATGGCTCAGATAATGCAGACGGAGACTGATCCAAATTACAAGAGCGAGGGCTCAGGCGGCCAAACGCCTGAGGAAGAAACGTCCGGTCAGGGTGACGAGACGGCTCTGGAGAGATCCCCTCCGCGCGCCCCTTCAACCCCTGCTGACTTTTTTTTGGAAGAGTGCGACCAAGGCGGCGACGAGGCCGTCTCTGCCCCCCTTGAGTCAAAGTGAGGAGGAGACGGAGAGCGACAACTCCGCCTCTACCTCTGAGAGTAGTGACGATTTACCCCCGCTTCCGGACAGCGAGGAGGAAGAAAGGAAAAAGTGGAACGAGAAGGATGATCCCTTCAACATCCACGTCTCCTCCAAGGACCGGATCCAAATGGAGGAAAACTTGAAGAATTTTACAAAAATTCACCCGCTTGGAGACGGGTATAGGATCCGGGTGCCGCCTGAAAATGGCACCGTCACCTGGGAGGACGATCAAGAGAACGCCAACAGTTATTTCGGCTGTTATGAGGCAGCGTTCAAGGCTAGTCTCCGGTTCCCCCTTCACCAGGCGGTGAAGACAATTTTGAGAGGCTACGGTCTCGGAGTCTGGCAACTTACCCCCAACTCTTGGACAAACATTCTGGGGTATGTTGCCGCCTGCGAGTTTCAAGGGCTTAACCCCGGCTG